GGGGGGGTATTAACATCAATTTGCTGAATTTACATTTCTTTTACGAGGTTAACATATGGGATTTCTCATTTTCACCAAAAATCATTGTTACTTTTTTCTTTGATTTTCGGTCATTGCAGTTTCTTAGTTTGTTGTCCTATTTCGGGTTGCTTTAATTTTGAAACACGCGACCGGAAGTTTTGCCCTATCTTTTCATTGGCTTGACAGGTGTGGAGCTCCCAGTCCTGGATTTGATGCCGTCCTTCGGCCAGTAGACTTCTGGCGGTCACACGCCGCACGTTTTTATCTTGCTTTTTTTAATCCGCCAGCACAATGTGGTTGTTGATGAGCTCGGGACCACCTTAAAGAGCACCTTCCTCTGATCCACATTACAGGTGGATCGTATAGATCTATCGCATGTGCGGAGAGGGAAGTTTACCTCCACCGACCCGAGGCTAGAGGCGGATAATACAACGGCAGTTTATACGGTAAGTGATTTTGACAGGGAGGCTGTGCAGTTATTGACACGGATTACGAGAAAGCTGTTTATGAATTGCAAATAAGTTGGTTACATTTTTGTTATTAATGCAATTCAGTATTTAAACTTTAGGCTGGTATACATCAGTTGCACATATATCAAAAGAAACTTTGATTTGGACTAAAAGTTGTAGCTCCCCGATACAGAACAAGCCCGGTACCCCACCCATTATTAAATATAATATAATCTAGTAATATAGTTAAACACGGGGCTCATTTAAATCTTGGGGGATTAATTGAATTGCAGGTTACTGTCCAGAGATTTCATCTGTCTGCCTTTGAATATATTAACTTGTTATCTACTGCTCATTTTACTAATGAGGAGGTCTGGTAGACTAAACCTCAAGATCTCTGCCCACATGTTCACGCTGGCATGCTTCACGGTTAAACCTGCTCTCCTTGGGCTCCCTCTGCTCAGCCGTCGCAGCCCTGTCTGTTCATACAGTCCTAACACCACTACATCACATAAAACCACAGTGGAGGTCTGAGCTTGTTAACACGGCCTAGGAACGCATATTTAAAGTCACATATTCGCAGAATAGTGTACTCAGTGGCAAATGTTGTACGCAGTGGATCATGTATGATGAAAATATCTAAGTTAATATCTAAGTTATTGAATACTTACAGAATCTGTGTACAGAAAATGACTAAAATAATGGCTGATTTTTACCTTGATCCCCTGAATGCCCTGCACCTAGGACAGATCTGTGCACCAGACGTTGTCATCTGATTTAATTTTAGTTCCCATTGTCATTCAGAGGTAGAGCTCGGAGCCTGCCCAGCTGCTTGTTACATAATGTCAGCTGAGGACTGCCACAGTTTAGTGAGCAGAGGGGGAAACTCGAGTGGAATTGAGCACAGACAATACAGAATGAGGCCAGATTACAGCGTTACATAAGGGATGTTTTACTTCCACTTGGCTGAGATGATGCAGATGATGGTGGTCCAGAAATAGGTCTGAGTAAAGGACGCTGCGTACACTATATTTACACACGGTGGAGTGAAGATAAGCTTGTTAATGCACAGAGAAGGCTCTGATTGTCAGGTCATAAAAAGAGATATTTGTATTTCATGTAGTGCAAGTCGGGCTTTGTTACTAATATCCTGTGGTAAATGTTTCCAGTAATTTTCATTGTGTGCACACTGAATGGGCAATAGTCTGTATTACATTCAAGGACATGCCTAATGCCTTTTGAAAGAAATGGAGCCCAAATGTCTGGTGGCTTTCCTCCCTTCTAACCTTAACAAATCATCCTATGGCACTGCATGGTTCAGTAGGTTGCAATGGTCTGAACTACATCTATTAATGTTGATTTCTTTGCTGGCAGTCTGTACATCCTTCTGTTTACTGTCCAACCTGAAGTGATAGAAGATTAAGTGGGTTGAAATTTTGTATTGTACAATGCAGTTACAGATAAACCTCAAAAGTAAACCCATTGCTGTGCACATTGATTTTAGGACATATGTTAGCAGTGAATTTCTGCTGGGATACATAGCACCACCAGCTCTCATCTATCGCAGCCGATTGAAAACAACTCTTATCTCCCATCTCCGTGTCACACAGAGCGGAAAGTCTTTGTCACATTGCTCAGTACAGGGGGAAAATGAGAAGAGTCTTATGGCACACAGTCAGTGATTTCAAAGCAGATAATTTGCAAGCAAAAAAGCCAGCATTCGTCACTGATTTAACGATCACTTGTTGGTTAATAGTAGTGTGGGTGCAAAAGATGTTGAATGCAGATAAAAACAGAGACATCTTCTTTTCTGCTGGCCTTTCCAGGAATCAGCCATTTATTTGTTTTTGCCTTTGAAAGTGTATGTCCACCGTTGATCCGAGACTTAATGAATCAATTTAGGAATTTAAATGGGCAGCTGTATTTGTGGAGAATAGTAGAGTTAGTGTTCCACGTTGAGGTCAGCTGTATGTTAACAGTATAAGTAGGCAACAAATCATGGGCTAAATTTATCCAAGATAAGATTTTTACGGACACGGGGGTTTGAAAGCTTATAATTATTACAGTTTAATTAATTTATTCAGCATTACAAACATGCAGTTTGTACACGTGTACTTCTAAAATTTCCTCGAAGTCAACATGTGATCGAAACTGTTTTGTGTGGGTTTGCTTTGCATGAAATTAATTAAACCACGACACAACAATCAGAAAGATCAAATATGAGCTCTGAATAGCCAGATATTCTTGTCCATTTCTTTTTGTGGCATATTTTTCTCCCCATCTGTACCTTAATGGAGTGCACAATCCTTCACAGCTATTACAGCACTATGTAACACAGTGGATCATGAATGTTAAAGAGGATGAAGACAAAAGGTGAAACAAAAAGATCCAAAAGAGTTGAATTCATGCCAGAGTTATTGTTTTGGATTTCATTAGTTTTTTATGGGTGTGCCTAGTAAAGTGGCCAGTGGGGTTAGTGCTTGAGGGAGCCACAGCAGCAGCACTGCAGGAGCTGTGGGCTGCATCCTAATAAACTGGGATGACTGCAGTGGGAGCTGTGAATAACACAAACGTCACAATTATACAACCCCTGAAATTTTCTGTCGAGTTTGAAACTCTACAGCGTGTCCCTGAAGTTCACATAATGTCGGCATTACATACAAATATGCTTGAAAAGAAAACTAGAAACAATGTCCTGTTGTTGTCAAGGTGGTTGCTGTGAGCTGTAGATTTGGGGTTTGCCGTACTGTGTTTATATATAAAAACTCAAAGTGGCTCAAAGTCAGAGTCATTATCCAAACATTAGATGGCCTGAACTTATATAAATATTGTCCAAGATACTACAACGTAGTCAAAGAATAAGCTAGATTGATGCACAATTGTGGGTACGTTCCTTTTCATGCACAATATTGTACTCAGGGCTTCATCTTAAGTGATAACTTTAAAAATAGTCTCTTTTAATCAATTAACTTTTATGAGCAAAGTGTAGTAAACCAACAAACAAAAATAAATACAATCAGTATTTGGCCTGGCTAAGCTATAGCATATTGATATTCAGTACTGCTGTGCTTTATTTCCATGGAAATTTAAAGTCTTTCTCAGGATTAATGAAGGTCACATTAGGTAAACGTACATCTTACAACAAAAGCTAAAGTCCAGACCTTCCACTGCATGTGACAGTGAAAGAAATGCTGCGATATATAAACCCCAACAGCAGCATAATGCTTACTTACAGAGTGTGAAGGAATCAATCAAAATCTCTCACTCAAACATGATTCATGTTTGTTTTGCATCCTGTTACTGACACAAAAGTGATTTATGCGTTGACCTTTTGCTTCCCCGTTACTGTAAAACCAATTTCTCACAGCTGCTGTGGACATGGACCTGCTAAGAGCTCGGTGAGATGAGGTGTGCCTATTTGCGGTGACTTGGTTAGTTAATTTATATCCTGTAGTCTGTGTTTTTCCGCAGTTACATACTCAAAGTGACAAATTATACCTGACTTGTATTCATAGAGCAGAACCTCACTGTGCACTGCTGGATGGATGTGAGAGAGTGCACTGATGCAGCTGGTACTTGAAGTACAAAGCAGAGGGTCTGATATTAAATTACCACCTGACAGATGTTTGTGTGTCCGCTGATTATGGTTTTGAGCTGACCTTGCGGGACTTTAACAAGCATGCAGAGAGAGTCTCCACTGTGCTATTTCTATTTAACAAGTCCACACTATCACAATATATTTTTTTTTCATGGTGAAATTCACAGTTTAATGGAAATAACCAAAAAGACTCTTCTCCCCGCAGTCATGATGCTCTGAGGCCACTGCATGAGGCCGCCTGGGCGAACATGATGGAGGAGGCTGCCAGCCAGCTTGAAAGAGATCATGTACACAATGTCTATGACAAGATTGCCCCATATTTCAACGACAGCCGCTATAAAGCCTGGCCGAAGGTACGGCAGTTCCTCCTGGAACTGCAGCCTGGGAGCATCGTTGCTGACATTGGTGGGTCTCCAGCAGTAATGTGATCCTGAAGGTCCAATTACAGCTGGCTTACATTTCTTGTGTTATGTTGTAGCTGACTGTCTTGTCTTTCCAGGTTGTGGTAATGGTAAGTATCTCCACATCAACAAGGACGTGTTCAAGCTGGGGTGTGACGTTTGTCGCCCACTGGTGGATTTTGCCTGGAGCCAAGGACATGAGGTCCAGATGTGCGATGGGCTGCATTTGCCTTACAGAGACAGCTGCTTTGATGCTGTGCTTTCTATTGCAGGTAATGGTCAGAACTATAAGCAGTTATTATAGATGAGATAAGAGTTTGTTTTTTTTAATATTTCACTTAGTAACAAATCACTCCCTTAATATGCATGAGCTCAAACGTCGCAGCCGTCATCTAGCTCAAATTAAGTTAACTCATATAATGATAAACATCATATTACCACAAACTTGCGTTGCCAAGCCAACAGTGTGAAAAATAATTATTGTGTCCTACCAAAAAAAAAAGAGTGTAATTAGGTCCAAACCGAACAGCTGCACTATTCATTTATCTTCCATTATACACACAGTGTACATGATACCTCATAAATCCATGCTTAAAGCTGACAAATTCATATTTTTGTCACAGTCATTCATCATCTGTCCACCAAAGAGCGTCGTATTCGAGCAATAAAGGAGATGGCTCGCACTCTGCGAGTGGGCGGACGCATTATGATCTACGTGTGGGCCATGGAGCAGAAACG